CATCTTCATCTTCATCTTCATCTTCATCTTCATCTTCATCTTCATCTTCATCTTCATCTTCATCTTCATCTTCATGTTCGTGTTCATGTTCATGTTCATGTTCATGTTTTGATACCCTTATTAGGATACTTTATTTATTTTAATAAATAATTTGAATTTGATTTTCGTATATATGGCAATCCTTTAAAATACTAAAATCATATTACACATCTAGAGGTCAAGCCCTTTAGGCCAAAATACAATAACGCAGTGGCAGTGGCAGTGACAGTTTTTAAAATCAGCTGTTACTGCTAATATTGGCAGTCACTGCCGCAGCAAATACGGTACGGCCAAGGCGAATTTATACAAGGTGGTGTTGACGTCGAATTTAGATTTTCGCCGAGGTACGTCTTAATGTCAAAATGATGTGTCTGTTGTAAAATGAATTCGCCTTGTTTACAACAAACACATCATTTTGACATTCAGTAGTACCGCGGCGAAAATTTAATTCACCATCAACACCACCCTTTATAAATTCGCCTTGGATACTGCTTTGTCAGTGACAGCTTTTTTTTGACATTCCCTTTTGTTTGTTTACATTTTTGTTGTTGTCTTTTAGGCTTCAGTGACATGAACAGAAGTTGGCTGCATTTTATTTATGTCAAATTCAGCATGCGAAGTTTGCTGCGATGAAGGCAGTGGCAGTGAATTCAGAATTTGGGCTAAACTGAGCAGTGCTGCCAGCTGCCACTGCTGTGTTGTGAGCCGCTTCATTGGACACCACACTTTCAGAAACAGCTGATTTCGAAAAACTGCCACTGCCACTGCGTTATTGTTTTTTTGGGCTTTTCATTTGACACCTCATCTTTTAAAATCGAACGAACGATACAGGTTTTATGAATTGGAGTTAAATATTTAACGCAACCCTCTGCGGCAGAGAAATTTTGAATTCGATTCTCTAACATGTCGCAACTCCTTTCATGGAACTAGAGCTATGTTTCACACCCGAAGCACACCTCATCTTTGGAAAACGAACGAACGATAAAGATTTTATGACTTGGTGTTAAATATTTAACGCAACCATCTCCGAACTCGTGTAAGAAGTTTCACTTCAAAAATACAAAATTGCCTCCACCAAAAAATATTACGTAATTGGCGGTAGAGGTCAGCACTTAAGAGAGTAGCGACACATTTGACGCGATGGTGTTCTAGCTGTGACTAAATAAATAAAACGAAAAATATTTCACACCAATAAAAATATTGAGGTGTAAATATTATATGGAATGACCCTTAGATTTGGTAGCAGTGCTGTCATTTGCTAATTTTCGAGTAGAGTGCTTCTGAAGGAAAAGGGAAGTGATTATCGTAGTGACTATTTTGAAACAATATTATGGCAGTAGGGTTATTCGATTTAATTTTTTTATTAGATGATTGGTTAATAGAATATTTTTTATATTAAAGTACTTCAATAAACAAGCGTATGCACCGATTCCAAATATTGATTAGGCGCGTAAAGTTGCGTTACAATTTATCAACAATTGGTTTCCTACGTTCTTTGGCATGTGGCTAATGACCAGATGCGCCGACGCCGATTATTTCTAAAGGCTCCGCCAGATAGAAACTCTTCTCTGCGTCACAGGGAAGCTTTTGACTGACATCCAAGTCAACTCTATGATTTTGAATAGAAGACGCATGCGTTGCCGTAACTGATAAAATTTGCCCAACTCTCAACTTTGGACGCACGCATATGCGGCAAAACAACAACAACAACAAAAATATATGGAACGAATACAAACCAGCTGATTTTTGAGAAATCAAATTGAGCCTTTTTGTTTGCGGCAAGGTTTTCATTGTGCCGTCTCGGCATCTTCCGTACGTTTTGTCAGTCAACAGCATTCCTGAGACGCAGAAAAGAATTTCTATCTGGCGGGGCCTTAAGGTCGGGGCCACGCAATGAGCGGCTGAGCGGCGTCATACAGAAATGTCGTTCAGCCGCTCAGAAATGGCGCTCAGTACGTGGCTACTTCAATACAGGGCATAATCAGGAAAATTAATAATTGAATAACAAAAAGTAAGAATACGTTTTCATTGCAGCACTTGCGAATGATGAATAAATTTTTATTCATCATTCAAGTAATTTTATAAAACGAATACATTTTTATTCTTCATTCAAATAATTTATTCACCATTCGAAATACTTGAATCAAGAATAAAAACTTATTCGTTATTTGAAATTACTTGAATGATGAATAAAAATTTATTCATCATTCGAAAGTGCTTGAATGAAGAATAAAAATTTATTCGTCATTCAAACTTAGAAAAATTATGAATAAAATTTTATATTTTATTTTAATAATAATTCAATCTAAAACGCCCATCCCTGCTTCAATAGTATTTCGTATGTTTTGCCGCTCATTGCGTGGCCTCGACCTAAGATTGACGACGCCGACGCCGCAATATCTATCGGCGTAAACCTCTATAACATAACTAAATAAAAAAAAATAAAAAATAAACCCATCGAAAACCAGTCTTTTTATTCGAGGATTTCGGAAGAGGTCATTAGTGATGGGCGAAGTAGCGGTTTTTCAGTATCAGTGAGAAGAGTGATTGAGATTTTTAAATCACAGTGATTTTTTTATGGCTATTGCGATCACTAGTTCTTTTAATAACACAGAAATACGTAATATTTCTAATAAATGATGACAAATCAGTGTTGGCACATGTAGGGATGATTCCCTACCCGTAGCGATTTCAGGCGAAAAAATGAGTGTAGGGAAAAGAGGAAGAAGTTTCATTTATTCGCTCAAAAATTCCCATATTTCACTTCGTGTTTTATTAATATTTGCAGCCATCTTTACTCGTTGATACAAATTTTGAAATAAAAAACTGAAAAGCAAAAAACGCGATCAAGCAAATCAAACTGCGTACTTTAAAAAGTCCACTTAAAACAACCATGGAACGGTGATGAAAAAATGCAATATACATATGAGAGTATTCACAATGAATAATTAAAAATTGTTAAATCACCATTTCTACCATGAATAACCATTCGCAACTTCTGTTGACTAGCTATTGACAGATGTGATCTTCATTCACAGTGAAATATCATGCGAGTAGAAAAATCACCAATCACCGGCCTAGTAGTAGCAGTCACTATAAGCCATTTTTAAATCACAGTGATCAAATCACCGCTAGTGAAATATCGCTCATCACTATAGCTCGCTCAGTTTTTGCAATACCGAAAATTGTTCCATTTTGATAGGTTTTTAGCGTCCTGTTCTACTGCCGAAAGGAGGATCTGAAATACTGTAGCAAAATAAGGCATCTAATAAATAAGCTGTCAAAAATAAGTTTCGAAGAATTTGTAAAATTATTTAAGTTAGCCAAAAATGGCAAAAAATAACTCAACAATAGACTTAAAAATTACCCTTGGTTTTTTTATATAAGGCCGACGATTCGATTTTCCATGTATCTAGCAAACTCCTCTGAAGCTACACTAAAACGGCTACATTCCAACAAAACCAAACAACGGACTTTTAATTGCTATTTAATAAGCTCTCACTGTAAAAGTTGGCCACAAACAAAAAAGATGAAAATATAAAAATTAAGATTCACTAAATTATCACATGAGTAGTCCACTTGCAAACAGCGTTATGTGATTTTATAATAGTAAGCCAGAAATTAAAAAAAACGTCTACAACAACAAGTAACATCCAAATTGTATATTTCTTTTTATTATCAGAAAATTTGGATAAATGAGAGCCTAATAACATTAAAAATCAAAATCGCAGTGTAGTAGTTTTTGCAAATTTTATATATAGAAATTAAATATAGCGAGTTTTGAAACAGTAAGTTTTATATAGGTTTTTTAAGCTTTTCGCGTTCTCTCTTCCATGAAGGTTGGTCTGCTTCTTTTTTAAGACGTCTTCCACTAGGCACCGAAACTACCACGTTTTCTTGCAGTTTTCTAAGTTCATACGAAGATGGAGACTTTTGAACTTGTATAAATACGTACAATAAATATTATAGCGACTTTTGAAAGTGTATATATACATACAGTAAGTATTATAGCGACTTTTGCTGGAGCAGCTAGCATTTGATACCATTTTATTCAGAATATATAAGGATTTCGCACTATATTGTTAGTGGACATGAAACTACTTTAAATACTGGTACGTTAACCACCAAAAACTAAAAATCGAAAAAAATTTACATAGCGCACTTTGGAAGTGGACTACTCACATCTTCTAGAGTGTACCGGCCATCATAAGCGATTTGATAGATTTGCATAAGGGTTTCAAGGTTTGGTAAAAAAAGTTGATCATCTTTACTTAGATTTTCATAGTATTAACAAGCTTCATTTACCTTTGCTGTTATATAGAAAAGATTATTCAAAATCATTTCGGTGGCCTCCGTTGATCCCGTTCCTTCCCTACGTCCACGTGTACCAGAGTCGGGGAAATACTGAAATAAATAATTGTTTTTATATTTAACCAAAGCACTCGCCGTTTGGCTACAATTGTAGCAAAAGTGTTATATTTAAAATAAAAAGCTACAATGTTACATAAATTCTAAAATGGCTACTATTTCATAGCTGGAAAAATTTTTTTACTTGTTCAAAAAAAAAACTTAGGAATGAACACATTAGTGGTTACTATGCATGCGTCTTCTGACGAATGAGTGTGTCCAATGGCCAGTAATATACATACATAGTGACGAGTTGTATAACTTGCCAGAAAATCCAAGAATTTTGATCTTTCATACAACCAAGACACAACTTCATCCCACAGGCCCACAAACGGTGCAATCTAGAGCAAAACATAACCATGTTGAACCAACGGTCGCACTAGGGAAACCAATCCTGAAAACGCGGGATCCCGCGCCATTTTTGCAGGATTTTAAATAAAGGATTATACATGCGGGATCCGCGGGATTTTCGGGACTACAGAAAAAAATAAAAAGACGAATGGGAGTTGTGAACGTGCTAGCCAATATGTTCGTCGTGCATGGCTGTATTAAATATACTTTATTTTATAACCCTATGCATACTCTATACATACTCTATGCATGCGTGTAAAGAGTACTCCCTAAGGACCAAGGAGTACTCCAAAATTAACCACAATTCATATAAAAAATATGGTCCAATTAACATTGCGATGTCCTGGGGCAGGACCATATACTACATCCCTGCATTACATCAGAGTAGCACAAAACTACTCCAACATATTAACAATGGCATTGTTGTTATATTTTCTCGTTTGTATACGCTTTTGTTCTTCACTTCTCAAATGCTTTTTCGAAATTAATAAAAACCAAGACAAAAATTAAAAATTACATGTTGCCTCTGACGGCATTCGAACCCGAACATGCTGGGAGCTAAGAACTAACAGCGAGCATCTCTACACGTTCAGCTACAGCCAGACATGCAAACGTACTTTCAAATGCTCAACTTCAATCACGTTTCGTTAAAACACGAGCAGTGATCGGATAACAAACAATAAGCTTGCGCAGAGACACGAGTTGGTCCGCTACAGCATGACAGAGGAACACTTTTGTAAGTACTCCAATTCACCACAAATAGACTACATGGTCCAACGATTTTTGCAGGGCAATGGCGTAGCCAGGATTTGGCGAAGGGGGGGATTAAAAAAAAATTTGCATCGATAACTTAAAGTTGTGATACACAATGGCTAGAGGCGTCGCACTATAGGCAAAACACGAGTTTTTTTTCAAAATCGTAGATCTTCGCTTAGAAAAGAGATAATAGAATGAAAATTTTTGTATCGCGAAGACAAATGATCATATAATATACGAAAACTATAGAGAAGTTACAACAACAATAACTTAACCCTCAAAATAAGGTTCAAAATGTCACTTTTTTAAATTTTGGATTTTGGCTCCCATTCCACTAGAAAACACTATATTTAATAAACCATTAGCACAGATTCTGAAATATCTCTGGAAGGATAGAAAATCTCTCGAATTAAATTTGTTATGGAGCTTTATTTTATAAGTGCCGTACTGTCAGAATAAATTGCATTAAATGGAAAAGGGAGAGCCGGGTTCGGCCTTATAATCTAAAGCTCTCTTGAGGCATTTGCTACAGTAATGAGAAGTGGTATTTTATCAAGCCCAGGTTACTAAATTTGAGTTGGAAATATTAGAACCCGCCGTGGCACCTCCAAGAAGGTTACACGTTCACGCGTCGTATACCTGGAACCATTTTAAGGTAAACTTAGAGGGATTGATATCTTAGGTATGCCTAGCGCGCAGACGAGATTTTATAATTTCATAGTTTTAAACGGCCTAAATACCTTAACTCGCTTAAAAAATAACGAGCTATAACGAAATGGGCACAGAAATAAAATCTAACATCATTAAATTATTTTTCATATTTATATAAAAGCGCGGACATATCTTGGACATATCTGTAGCACCCCCTTTCGAAGCGATATTGTTTGCCACTTATGTTTAATTATTTATTTTTAAGAATTTTCAATTAAAATACAGTTCATTTTCCAACAAAACCCATATAAACCAATGTTTTAAACTTTTTTAAAGACCGCAAAAAGGTGCAACAAACTTTCCCCTAAATTTCAAACTTTTTTCTCAGAAGCTCTAGAATTTTTTTGAGTACACAGTTTTATAGCGCATTCAATTTTGTCCAATAATTTTTTGTCTCATTTGCTTCCATATAACGACTAAACACAATTTATTTTTATATCGCAGAAACCCGCAACATCCTCGGCGAAAAAAATTCGAAAAAATCAACGGTAATTTTTAGCCACTTGAAACTTGCACATTATTAGATTAAAATTGAAAAACTGTGTATTCTAAACAATTCTACCGCTTATGAGAAAAAAGTTTGAAATTTGGGTGAACATTTTTTGCACTTTTTTGCGGTCTTAAAACTTGAGTTTATGTGAGTTTTGTGAGAGATGAACTGTATTTTAATTGAAAATTCTTAAAAATAAATAAATAAACATGAGTGGCAAACAATATCACTTTGAAATGGGGGTGCTATTGTATTGGCCAATACTGTATATATATTCTTATCTTCTGCTCCAATATAGGGATGTCAGTGGCAAAAATACATCGATGTTATTCCTCGCATCGAAACTTATATCGATATTTGTCGATGCATCGGAGGGCGTACATCGATGCATCGATACGCATAGAGTTTTCCTCCACTATGGAAATAAAACATTAAAAACCTTTTTCTGTATGTACTAGTTTTATAGCTCATAAAATTTTAGTATAACAAAGCGCAAGTCAGCCAAAGAAAAAATATTAAAAGTTAAAGCAATTGAAACTTGCACTTTATTATACTAACATTTTATGAGCTATAAAACTGCATCTTCCGCTCTATGAACTTTAGACAAAGTGATGTTCGGCCATTCGATGTACTTGAGATTGACTATTTATACATTTATACATCGAGCAGAAAATTTTCGATGCATCGATGTTTTTTCGGCATCCCTACTCCAATAATTTTAATACGTATATATGTACATATGTAGTTTTGTGTATGTTTAAGGCAAATTTTCTGTTTTAAAACTAAGTATGCACATGCACTGTAATTTAAAACCTCTGGTTGTTGTGCATGTACTTTAATAAATAAATAAAATAAAATAAAATTGTATGCGTACTTATTTAATCACAGTATTTAAAAAAAGGCTC